GGATTTATTTCTGGACCCTCTATTCTGTCCCATTGATCTTTGTGTCTAGTTTTTAAAGATTTTATTTTTAAATGTAATATTTTATTTTTAAGATTTTATTTTAAGTGGATTATTACTCAGCCATAAAGAGGAAGAGATCATGCCATTTAAGACAACATGGATAGACCTAGTGGGTATTCTGCTAAGTAAAAAATCAAACTGAGAAAAACAAATACTACATGATTTCACTTATTTGTGGAATTTAAAAAATCCCAGTGAACAAAATATAAAATTAGAATCAGACCTAGGAGTACAAAAAACAAACTGATTGTTCCCTGAGGGAATATGGGGTGTGTGTGCATTGAGCAAAATAGTGAAGGGGAGTGGGAGGTACAGGCTTCCACTTATGGAATAAAGTAGTCATGGGCATAAAAGGCAGAGCATAAGGAATGTAGTTAATGATACTGTAATCGTGATGTAATGGGGCAGTTGTGAGTATAATGTAATGTACAAAATTTTTGAGTCACTATATTGTACACCTGAATGTAATTTAACTTTGCATGTCAACAATACAATTAAAAAATGGTTTTGAAGTGAAAAAAATCATATGTGATAGGACAGAGCTGGTAGCTAATTGACATTAGAGGTGGTAATCATTTTGTGTTATATGAATATATCAAATCAACACACTTTAAAAAAGAAAAAAAAAACAGTATCAGAGCACTAAAGACAGCTGGGTTTGTCCAGAGAACAGACAATATGCCTCGGGAAAAGTGCACCAAATGCACCATGCACCTGCTAAGAGGAAAGTTCCCAGGAAGTTACAAGAAGGAAGCTCATAACAGGTGTGCTAATGAAATGTTGAACACTCTCATTCCAGATAGTCGCAGTAAGTGCAGTTTGTCAACCAAACTGCAACATTCATCACTCAGGCGAATGTTTACAATTAGGTTATGATCCTGAAAAGGATGGTGCATAAGACCTCCTCAAATCTTCCAACACTTTGACTTTTGTATCCTTCAAAGTTTCTGGGGAGCAGCACTGGAGGAAACACAACATTTGGTTGCGACATATTCTAGGCAGTGACATCATAATAGGAAAAAATTTTCTTCTACATTTGCAAATATTTTGTGACCACCAAGGTACATTCCCAACAAATTCCTGATGAGGACCAATGAAGCCAATTATATAATTGTATACAATTATATAATTAAGCACAAAGCAATCATAATCATCATCATCATCAACCAAGCAATTGTAAGGGAGGAAAAACTTTAGATAAAACTTAATAAAAGCTTTAGTAAAAACTTGGTTCCTGGGATCTTGTGAATTAAACTGACAACAGACAGATTAACAGGAGACAAAGCATACACATTTATTAATTTTTAGTTTTACATTCATAGGGTATCACAGAAAGGAAGTGAATTTCTAATGGAGCAGTAAAATATGAGAGCTTATATACCATCTTAACAGGAGAAAGTAAAGGAACAAAAGCACACTTAAAAACTTAAAGATTTGTTAAAATAATATAACTCATGTTAAGTATTTTTAACACACACACACACAGCCCAAAAGAATATAAGGAAACTACTTTTGGAGGTGATATATATGCTTATTACATTGATTGTGATGATGGTATTATCATGACTATGTATATATAGCCAAACTAACCAAAGTGTTATTATTATATTATATATTATTTATATATTTATATATATATATATTATGTATATATTTATATATTTATATATATTATTTATATATTTATATATTATTATATATATACTATGTGCCATCAGATCAGCACTTGTCGGGGGGCTCAATCCCATGAACCATGAGATCATGACCTGGACAAACTCGACTTGGACACCTAACTGACTGACCCACCCAGGTGCGCCATATATTCTGTTTTTTAATATTTCAATTATACTTAAATAAAGGGGAAAATGGTCTTTGAAAATCTGTTCAATGGTTTGGAAAGACACATGCAATAGAGGATCCCATTTTGGAATTTTTTAAAAAATTCATTTTTTAAAATGTTTATTTATTTTTGAGACAGAGAGAGAAAGAGTGTGAGAAGGAGAGGGGCAGAGAAAGAGAGGGACACAGAATCTGAAACAGGTTCCAGGCTCTGAGCTGTCAGCACAAAGCCTTACACGGGGCTCAAACTCATGAGACCAACTTGGATGCTTAACCGACTGAGCCACCCATGCGCTACTGAAATTTTAAAAATATGTTTTATTTATTTATTTATTTATTTATTTATTTATTTATTTATTTATATTTTGAGATAGACAGAGACAGTGTGAGGGGAGTAGCAGAGAGAGGGGGAGAAGCAGGCTCCATGATGCCAGGACAGAGCCTAATGATGGCTCGAACTCACAAAATCGTGAAATCATGACCTGAGCCAAAACAAGAGTCAGATGCTCAATGTACTGAGTCACCTGGGAGCCCCTCTTTTTGGAAATTTTAAAACAGGGTGTTCGCAGAACAAACATGCAAATATATATTAAAATATACATGGAATTCTTGCTGGGTAGTTTGATTTCTGATTTAAGTGATACTGGATCCCTTAAAGGTTTTTTTTTTCCTAATTTGTATTTTCTAGATTTTCTACACCAAGCATATAATAATTTAATAATAAGAACGATACATGTAATTAAGTGCCTGAATTTAAAAGGCCAAACTGAGGGGCACCTGAGTGGCTCAGTCGGTTGGGAGTCTGACTTCGGCTCAGGTCATGATCTCGAGGCTCGTGGATTCGAGCCTCGCATCGGGTTCTGTGCTGGCAGCTCAGAGTCTGGAGTCTATTTCAGATTCTGTGTCTCCCTCTCTCTATCTGCCCCTATCCAGCCCATGCTCTGTCTGTCTCTCTCTCAAAACATAAATAAAACTATATATAAAAAAAAGACCAAGCTGAGATGATGGTTCTCTATCAGAGTCACTGGACAGTATTTTATGTCTTTTTCTGATAAGGAAAACTGAACTTGTTGGTAGATAGAAGACCAAGTAAAGAGATCAAACAGAAGAGCAAGCAGGTAGGGGATATATTAACAGAGAGCACTGCTAAGAGATATAAGTGACCTGCAGCAGGTGGGCAAGTTGAGGCACTGGTGTTGAAAGGACTGCTGTCTCTTCCGCATGGCATGAAAGTCCAAATGAAGTTGGATACTGTCCATGTCTGTTGTGCTTAATGAATAGTCACTGACAACATCAGCACAGAACACAGTTCACTGAAACTCACTTCCTTATATCCTATCTATTCCACAGAAGAAGAACACGAGGTACAGGATGTCCACTGATTAGACATTGGTAGTAGAATTAATGTCTTGTCCTTTTCCAGATAGATTCACCCTTGTGTGGGCAGAAAGGGGAGTAAAAGTGGCTTTTTGTGGAACCACATCTCTATCAGTTAGCATCTGTGACCCAACAGGAACCTACGTAATTAAGTATTTGTGGATTAATGACTTTATTTCTAAGTAATACAGGAGAAAGACTAGTTTTTTGTTTGTTTGTTTAAGTAGGCTCTACAGAGCATGGAGCTTGAACAAAAGACCCTGAGATCAAGACCTGAGCTGACATCAAGAGCTGGGCACTTAACCAACTGAGATACTCAGGCACACCTCAGAATTTGTATTTCTAATGACTTTAGGTTGTGCTGATGCTGTTGGTCTGGCACAACACTTGGAATCATTGGCCTGTGTCTAGGTACTCAAAGGAACTGCCAGACCGGCATGACCAGCAGCTTGTTATAATGGCAGAATGTTGCACCCAGTTTGACAGAATCAGAATTTTCATTTAACAGAGTCCTCTGAAGGTTGGTAAAATGTTAAAGTTTGGGAAATGGGATTTGGTGCATAAGTTCTCAAATATAATTTCGGTAAAGCATAACCCCAGGATGCGGTGTGTGACAATCCTGCTTCAAATACATTTTTCTCATGCTATGATTGAAACATAAAATAGTAATACAACATTTAGAAATGACTGTAAAGCATTCGAGACCCTTGAACTCTGCTTATGGGTAACAGTAACAAACTTCCTCAGACTTGGTATCATCATATGATTTAAAAAAAAACAAACACTTTGGAATAGATGAGCATATAATTCTGAAGTCAGCCAATCCATTTCTTGTTGGATAAACGCTGAAGTTGTTATCTGTTTTGCACTTTATTGGGTGACAGATATTGTGAATAAACTACTTAATTCCCCCAACAGCAACAGCTCAGGGTCAGCAGTTAGCTAATCGCCTGCCTGGAAATTATCACTGAGGCCAGCTTGTGCTCTGTGGCTCTGCTGGGTGGTGTAGGGGAGGAAGTGGGGGACCTGATGGTAGATATGGGTCTCTCAGGCCCTTTTCCTTCCCTATTGCAATACTAGCCTTGGAACAACAACAGGAAGAAGCACAACTGCTCCTTTACCTAGCTTGAATAACATCAGGGGCACTTGTGGGGATGAGCACTGGGTGTTATATGGAAACCAACTTGACAATAAACTATTTGTAAAAAAAAAAATCTATAATAAAACGGTAGATTATAACAAAAAAAACCATCAGTGCTCTTCTATTTTTACCTTTTCCCTCTTTTTTCCCTTTTTATTTTTTTGAAGTATCAGATCTCTTAGGAAAGGCATTTATGTTTGATTTAATTTTTACAACCTGAGGAGCAATAAAATTTCACTTCTAACTTTGTTTTCAACTTTCCTTACAAGATACTTTCTTTTTGTGTGTTTAGAAGAGGACAAAATATTGGTATTCTGGATTCTCAGAAAGGAGAATAGGAAAACTCCTACCCTTTCGATTCTCCAATCCTGAAATTTCCTTGAAAGCAAAGTGAACCTAGAATGTTAGGTTTATTCCTTCATGTTTCAACCTGATTTTTTTACACACATGTCTTCCTTTCCCCCTCCCCTTCAGAACGGTTCCTGCCTTCTCTACCATGCCTGTCAGTCAGCAGCTCACTGTTAGTGACAGCACAAGCCAGTGCTCAGATGCAACGTCCTGCTCAAACTGTGCCCATTGTTGTCGAAAGTGGAGTGAAACTCAGGAGCTGAAAAACAGAGTCACAGTGAGAGAATGGGGAATTCTCTCCTGAGAGAACTCAGGTGAGTCTGGCTCTAGGCAGGGCTGTTTCTTGGAAGAAGAGGGAAAAGGAGACTGGGTGTATGCATTTGAAATGATGAGAGTTTGCTTTAAGAGGTGTGTACCTGAGAACAGCATTCTTTAAGAACGCACAGTGACCCCTTGCTGCCTCAGTTTACTCACTCCTTCTTTTGCCTTACTTTGGAACCATGGTAGGTTGCCAGATTTAGAAAATAAAAATACAGGATGCCAAGTCAAGTTGGCAAAAAATAGAAACTTTTGTTTGTGTAAATACATCTTATCCAATATTTAGAACATTATTGCATGGGTCATACTTATACTAAACAAATTATCTGTTGTTTATCTGAAATTCAAATTTGACCGTACATTCTGCATTTTATCCAGGAACCCTGGTCTGTAGTCACTTGAATCTTTCTGTATCTTTCTAACCTCATTTGGGTGTGGGATTTATCCTCCAATTCATCAACTTCTTGGGGTCTATCTGTATGAGAATAAGCAGTCAGGTTCTTGAAAATTATGGATGCAAAATAATGTACTCAAATGCTTTTGATTTAAGTAGTGCCTTTTCTTGGTGATTTTATTCTTCCTTATCTTTGAATACCTTTGAAGTTGTAGAATAGATATGGATAATCGGCATTATCCTGCTTAATCTTAGAGGATTGTCTTTAGCACCCCACCCTCCTATCAATTTACCCTAACTTCTTCCACAAAATCTTATTATATTATGTTATATAACAAGACTAGATCTTTAAAATTAAGATATAATTTACATGTAACATTGTATACATTTACAGTGTACATGTTGTTAATTTAATACATTTGTATATTGCAGTGTGATTACTGCCATAGTGTTAGCAAACACCTCTATCACATCACATAAATTATCATTTCTTTTTTCATGATTGGAACAGTTAAAATCTAGCCCCTTAGCGAATTTGAAATTTACAATATAATATTGTTGATTATAATCACTACATTTTGCATTGCATCTCCAGGACATATTTATCTACTCACTGCGAGTTTGTGTCCTTAAATAATATCTCCCTAATTCCCCTACCTCCAGTCCTGGTAACCATCATTCTACTCTCTGTTTCTATGTGTTCAGCTTTTTAAAATTGCACATATAAGGGATATTTGTCTTTTTCTGTCTGACTTATTTCACTTAGCATAATGCCCTCAAGGTCATGTCATATATACAATATATAACATATAACATATATATATATAATAAATATATATTATCTATCCATCTATCCATCCATCATCTGCTACATCTTCTCTATTTATTTGTCTATTGCTGGGCACTTAGGTTGTTTCCACATCTTGGCTATTGTAAGTGTAGTGTAATTTTGCAATAAACACTGTAGTGCAGATATCTCTTTGATACCCTGCTTTCTTTTTTTTTTAAATGTCTTTTAAATTTATTTTTGAGACAGAGAGATAGAGCACGAGCTGGGGAGAGGCAGAGGGAGAGGGAGACACAGAATCTGAAACAGGCTTCAGGCTTTAAGCTGTCAGCACAGAGTCTGATGTGGGGCTCGAATCCACAGACCATGAGATCATGACCTGAGCCGAAGTCAGACGCTTAACTGACTGAGCCACCCAGGAGCCCCTTTGATACCCTATTTTCATTTCCTTTGGTTGTATATACAGAAGTAAGATTGTTGAATCATGTGGTAGTTCTATTTTTAATTCAAAAATTGTTTTCCATAGTGGCTAGATTAATTTACATTTTACCAACAGTGTAAAAGGGTTTCCTTTTCTCTACATCCTTGCCAAAACTTGATATCTCTTATTCTTTGTTCTTTTTTTTAAAAATATTTTTTTAACGTTTTATTTATTTTTGAGGGAGAGAGATAGATAGCATGAGCAGGAGAGGCTCAGAAAGAGAGGGAGATACAGAATCAGAAGACAGGCTCCAGGTTCTGAGATGTCAGCACACAGCCTGACTCGGGGCTCGAACCCATGAACTGTGAGATCATGACCTGAGCTGAAGTTGGACGCTTAGCCGACTGAGCCACCCAGGTGCCTCTTGATATATCTTTTTCTTGATGGTAGCTATTGTAAGAGGTGTGAGATGATAATCTCATGGTTTTGATTTGCATTCCCCCACTAATTAGTAAGGTTGAACATCTTTTCTTATACCTGTTGGCCATCTGTATGTCTTCTTTGGAAAAATGTCTATTCAGATCCTCTGTCCATTATTTTTAAAGTTTATTTATTTTGAGAGAGATTGGTTTTGAGAGAGTGGTTTTGATATGCATTCCCCTAGTGATTAGTAATGTTGAGCACCATTTAATGTAACTTTTAACCACTGGGTTGTGTTCTTTAACACAATTAGATTGATCTGCCCATGGCAAAGCACTAATCACATTACTCCTGTGTTTCAATGAGTACATCCATTTTCCACTACCTAACATGTAAATTGTAGACCACTTATTTTGGAATTTAAGGCCTTATATATATTCTATTTTAATAAGTCTCCCCTTCTTGTTCTCTTCTTACTTTGGGCATTGCCTCTACCACTTGGCTTAGCAGCCAAACTCTAATCAACTTCTTTCTACTTACTAGGGAATCTCTCAAGGGTAATTGTTGCTTTGTCCCTATGTCTCCCAAAACTTAGCACAAAGCAAGGATTTAAAGAACATATAATTAATTTTGTTAAGTACACTTTTCTGCCCTTTCTACCATAAATATTTTTTATGGACTTTATATCCTTAACAATCTGACCACTGGTTAATCTTTTGATTTTAAGCTTGTGTGCACTGGCTATCAGAACTCTTACTCAAAAGTACATTTTCAACCATCTTGCCTTGTCAAAATATTCGTTCTGCAATGCCTTAGCCAAATGTTACATCTTTCTGATCTCTGCCAGAAGTTATCCTTTCACATTTTTGTGACTTATAAATGGTTTATATGCATTTGTGATACTAAACAAATTCTGTCTAGTGTCATGATTACACATATACAAGTCTTTTAGATTGTGGATCCTTTGATTACAATGACAGTGCCTTTAAAACCTGAAAAATCCCTGAAACTTGTACCTATGCTCTATGGAAAGGAGACTTTCTATAATTTTTTTTTCTGGCTGTTGTGAAAAAGCATGTATAATTCTTATTTCAGAGAAGCAGAGGACAAAATTATCTGCTTCAGAATACTGAGATTTAAAGGAGCATTCCATTTTTATCACCCTTTCTAGATTGATTTTTTAATTTTCTTTTTTAATATTTATTTATTTTGAAAGAGAGAAGGAGGGTAGAGAAAAAGAGCAGGGGAGAGGCAGAGAGAGAGGGAAAGAGTATTCTAAACAGACTAGATGCTGTCAGAGCAGAGCCCAGTGTGGGGCTCAATTTCACAAATCATGAGATCAAGACCTGAACTGAAATAAAAAGTTGGGCACTTAACTAGCTGAGCCACCCAGGCACCCTGATAATAACACCTTTTAAAACATGGGCACTTATTCCACACCAGGTGTCTGGTCACAATGCAAAAAAAATTGAAACTAAAGGGAAAATAATTCTAAACAACTTCTAAACTTGGTAAAGAAAACACACATGCAAATCCTTGGCTCTTAAAGAGTTTGTGACTGCTTTGATAAAATAGTCAGCAGTCAGTAATTACTTCCAGGAGTGAGAGCACGAATGTTCATTGAATGAAGTTCCTTGTGAACCACATAATTCCTGCGAGTGTGGTTCCTTGAGACAAAATACACTATATAGCTCAAGAACCTGAAAAAATGTAGTTAAATAACAGCTATCACTGTTATCACTGATTAATCACTTACCATGTTCTTGTTAGTTTACATGCATTGTTTCATTTTATCTTCACAACTAAATCTAGGATCTGGCAATATTCCTACCCCTACTTTGGACATGAGGATATGAAATCAAAGAAACCAAGGAATGTATCCAGTACTACAGGAAAAGCAGGAAGGGATTTCCCTAGTGAAATTTTATTGGAAACTATCTATTCCCCTTTTATTTAATTGTATGACACCCAAGCAATGCTGCTAATTTCTTTCCAAAGTTCACTAATAATTTACTCAAGTAATACAAGAACACTAATTCAAAGGGATATATGCATCCCTATGTTTATAGCAGCATTATTTACAATAGCTAAAATATAGAGGTAATCTCAGTGTCCATAGATTGATGAATGGATAAAGGTGTGTTATGTATACACAACGGAATATTATTCATCCATAAAAAAGAATGAAATCTTGCCATTTGCAATGACATGGATGGAGCTAGAGAGTATTATGCTAAGTAAAATAAGTCAGAGGAACACAAATACTCTGTTTTCATTTATATGTGTAATTTAAGAAACAAAACAAATGAGCCAACGGGAAAAAATAAGAGAGGGAAAAAGCAAGAAACAGACTCTTAATTATAGAGAAAAAAACCTAATGTTACCAGAGGGGAGGTGTGTGGGAGAGATGGGTTAGATAGTTCATGGGGATTAAGGAGTGCACTTGTTTTAATGAGCACCAGGTGATATATGGAAGCATTGAATTAGTATATTGTAAATTTGAAATTAATATAATACTGTATGTTACATAACTGAAATTAAAATAAAAACTTAAAAATGCAAATGCTATTTGTATATTCCAATTAAATGATAGCTGTCTAAAGTTCCTTTGAACCTCTAGGATTTTTTTTCTGCTCTTGTTTATCCCTCTTAGAATTTATCTGTTGAAGAAATTATCTGGATTTTATTGGTTACATTTGTATGTTATTGTTTCAAATATGCCTCTTACAAGCTATAATTATAAATTGATGTTTATATCTAGATACTTGATCAAATCCAAGGTTGATATCGGCAGAGAGGGATACTCCATAGGCGGTTTGTAAACTTTCCTCAGGAGGCACATAGTTTTCCCCAACTTTACTAAGATATAATTGACAAAGAAAATTGTTTTGTAATGTAAAAAAATTACTCTGGCTAAATAAGAAAAAATCACCAGTGAGGAGTGCTCTAGACAGAAATTACCCTTATTTTGCTTACTGGAATAAAATATCTCCCATTACCAATTAATAAGTATATCCAACCGTGCAACCCACATTCATTTGCCTGTTTGTTTATTTCAAGATCACAACCACAACATACAGTAATTATAATGAGATAATCCTGTGAAATTCTTAAAGCCTTTTTAAAAAATGTTTATTTATTTTTGAGAGACAGAGAGAAAGAGAGAGCATGAACCAGGGAAGGGCAGACAGAGAGAGAGACAGACAATCCCATGTAAGCTCTGTGCTGTCAAGGCAGAGCCTGGCTAGGGGCTTAAACTTATGAGTAATGAGATCATAACCTGGGCCAAAATCAAGAGTTGGAAGTTCAACCAACTGGGCCACGCAGGCGCCACTTACACTTTGTTTTCCTGAAATATCAATTTTAAATCATCATTTTACTATGTAAGAGTTCACACTTTTGTTTTTATCTCTGTAGCACTTATTCTGATTTTATCTATCTAATCTATCATCTATCTATCTATCTATCTATCTATCTATCTATCATCTATCTATATCTATTTATTTATTTAGAGTGAGCAAGCGAGCAGAGGAGGGGCAGAGAGAGAGAGGGAGAGAGGGAAAATCCCAAGCAGGTTCCACATTGTCAGCACAGAATGTGGGGCTCAAACTCACAACCCTAGGATCATGACCTGAGCTGAAATCAAGAGTCAGATGCTTAACTGACTGAGTTACCAAGGCATCTCTCTGAAATTTGTTTGATGTTTGTTTCATTCCCTTTTCTTTTACTTAATTGATTCTGCCATATTTTTGCTCATCCTGCCAATATTCTTTTCTAATATTTGGTTTTCTACCACATTTATTTCTTTCCATAACTTTGCTTATTTCTTTTTCTTTTTCCAAGTTTTTGAGATATCTGATTACTTTGCTGTTTCCAATCATTTGTTTTCTTATGAGTGTATTTTAACAGCTCATTTTTTTTCACATTTCCCTTTATCTGTATCCTGAAAATTGTCTTCTATAGCCTTCCCTATAATTTTAAGAGTGTTTTAGGGGGCCGCCTGGGTGGCTTAGTCGGTTAAGCGCCCGACTTTCGTTTGGGTCATGATCTCGCGGTTTGTGGGTTCGAGCCCCGCGTCGGGCTCTGTGTTGACTGCCAGCTCAGAGGCTGGAGCCTATTTCAGAGTCTGTGTCTCCCTCTCTTTGACCCTCCCCTGCTCACGCTGTCTCTCTCTCTCCTAGAAATAAATAAAAATGTAAAAAAAAAAAAGAGTGTTTTAGGAAATTTTCTATGTGTTTCCTTCTTTAATATAAGGATTAGTTACTATATTACGGTGTCTGACATATGTACATTTTAAGATAGTTCATTGTTGATTTTTGATTGACTTGATAAACAAATAGAGCAAAAATAGTTGCTTTTTTTGTATTTAGATTTCTTTTATGGAGTTATGATGTCTTAAACTTATGCCAAACATTTGGGAAGTTAAAAAAAGAATTTTCAAAAAACACAAAAAGTATGGAAAAATCACCTATGATGTCAACACTTTGACCAAGATACATTTTAAGATTCATTTAATATCTATTGCTTGAATGATTAGTTTTCATGATTGTTTAATTCAACCAACAAATGTTTTTAAATCACCTATTGTTCTGTCATGATCTAAATTTTGCTTTATTAAAGAAATATTTAGTGTACAGCAGAATTTAGTACTCATTTACATTCAGTAGTAATGACATGGAATTTCAATTAGGTTCTTACTAATGTTAAGGATTTTATGTTCTTTTTTTTAACTTTAAAGTACAAGCATCTCTTAGAAGCGTAAGTCAGTGAATCATTAACAATCTCAAGAATTATTTTATCAGATTATTCAGTGGCCAGTATAGAAAAATGGAATCTTGAGGAAACCAGGCTCTAGGGAAGCAGAAGAGGACACATAGGACACTGAAATTAAATTTTGCCTGATTTGCAATCTATGCTATTAGGTAATTATTACATTCACATTTAGCCATTTGTGAATATTATCCGTAAATCTCTATGTCAAAACTCATCTCTACAAAGGGGCCTTCTTCCACAAATCTGACTTACTTTGTATTTAACAAATTCTATTCTTTGCTTACTGGCCAAATAAGTCCACATCTGATGATGTTATTAAGCTTTTAAACATGAACACTGAGGAAATGTCTTCTCCAAATATTGTTGGCAAGCAAGAGTGAGGCACATAGTCTGGGATATTTTACATACAATCTTCTACATAGAAGCAGGAGAACAGACACATGTTTGAGATGTGATAATATTAGAAAAAGACTATTCAAAAAAATACCATTTGGACAACTGGTGTAGTAGAAAATTTGATTAACTGAAACACAGACATGGGTCTGTATCTCACTATTGTATAAGCAAGAAAGTCACTGATTCCTATAAATCTAATTCCATCACTCAGTGCTTGTTTGGTTCTTATAAAGAAGATGGTAATTGGTGGGAAAACATCAAGAGTAATATGCACAACCAACGTCTTTGAATGTAGGTGAGGATCATAATGTTCTGTATGTATATGGATGGGCAAACAGCAAGATTTGGAGAATCTTGCTCTGGATCAGATAGCCAAGGTTGATAGTGCTAGTATTCCACAGGAATGGACACCCCTGAGCTGCTGGTCTCCTCTGGACATCCTGGAGAAGACACACCTTCCTGTGGTTAGGGTCTTTCTCTATTTAGGACCCTCCCACCTCCTCGGGAGAGATCAGACTGTAGCCATTTCATCCCATTGTAAGCCTGGGCCCTGTGATTAATTTCTGAATTACATTCTATATATGTGACTTCCTGCTCTTTCTAAAGGACAAAGAAGTTTGTAAAAAGGAAAAGGCAGGCTTTGCTTTAATGGTAAGGAAAGCAAGAAAAGGGGGTGAAAACATTTGAAGGGAGATAAGAATCTCTTCTTTTCTATGTGTTTCCATCTAGTTGCCTGAGAAACAATCAAAAGAAGCTCAAGAATGTAAACCAACATGTGGAAAGAAAATGGTAAGAACTCAGCATATCAGAGCTTTACCCCTGTAAACAGAGATTTACCTCTGTCTCACAAGAGACTGAGAATCTCTGTCTCACAAGAGCTAACATCTTACTTGAGACTTCTTACAGCTGGGTAGAATGATAGACTTCTTTGGTGATTGCCTCTAAGAAGTGGCTGACTCGAAGAAGTTTATTTGGAGACTCTAAAAATAATAGGTTATTGTTGCACATGTTTCATTTCTTCGTGGTTATACAAAGCACATATACAAACATAAAACTGAAATAAAGAATGCTTATTTTTGGTTGGCTATTTACAATGGCCACACTTCCAACTTATTCCTCGCACTTAGAATAGTTTTTGGGAAATATAAGTCTCATCATGTGTTCTCCTTGAGACCCTTCAATTATTCTCCACTGTATCCAGAATAAAACCCAAACTCCTCACCAGGGACTACAGTTCTATAAGGATTGACCCCTGCATACCTCTGTACTCTCATTCCGCACTCCCTGTCCTCACCCATTATCTTCCAGGAATTCTGCTGTCATTTCATATTCTTTAAGCCACCAAGTTCAGCCTGAACTCAGTGCCCTACTGTGCACTACTACTGCTCCTTTAGCACTCATAGTTTTTATTTTCTGTTCTTGTGTCTGAAAGTATCTCTTCATGGAAATTTTGACTCTCTCACTGTTCTCCAAAAAATGTCCTTAAGTACATGATGTGAAAACATTGTGTCCACACCCAGTGGATTTCCTGCACTGCATTATGCCTTTCTATGAACCGGTAACTTTGTATTTGTTAGTTTAGCTTTTTATACTCAATGTGCTCTTTGAGACTCTGGCCACTGCTTGACTTGCCATTGTGTTTCTGTTGCCCAGCCTTTACAAGATACTCTAAGGAAAAAAGAAAAAAAAAAAGACTGGAAAAACAACACCTATCAGGACACTGATATCTTGCCCCAGCTTAAGTACACAGAAACACCCTCCTTTGTTTGCTGACCATGGGATTTTCATATCTTTGCATTCAACCTCTTGCCTAATCATTGCATCTCATGAACTGGGTTTTTATCTCTGAGACAGATCCTTTATCTGTAAGTGTGAAAGAGTGAGAGATTGAGGGGAAGGCCATGTTTGTTGGTGATATGAAATGTTTGCAGGAATTAGCCATTCTGCAAGTATTTCATCTCTACTTTCTCTTCACAGAGAAAAAGGTAGACACAGTGGGGTGGCTATGCCGCCATTGTAATGAACCCCCCCGTTACAGTGTGTGGCTGAAGAGGTGATGTTATCGAACCAAGATCCTTTTCTCAGGCTGCCACAAATACATTATGTTCAACACAAAGTCATTTAAACTCATTTGCTTTATCATGTCTGAAATGAGATCTGTGCTACTGTTCTTTAATTTTTCCTTTTAAAGGAATTGAAGTGTTGACATTTTCAAATACGTGCAAGTCTTTATTTTAAAAAGACAATAACTAAATGAGAAAAAATAAATGTTCTAGGGTGTCCCCAACCAATTTTTAGTTTTATTTTAATTCCAGTTAATTAACATAGAGTGTTATATAAGTTTCAAGCATACAATATATTGATTCAATATTCTATAGATTACTCAGTGTTAATCATGATAAGTCGGCATTTATTCCCCTACGTCTATATCAGCCACCCCCCTCCCCAAATCACCTCCCCACTGGTAACCATCAGTTTGCTGTCTAGTTAATAGTCTACTTCTTGGTTTGCCTTTCTCTCTCTCTCTGTCTCTCTCTCTGTCTCTACCCTTTGCTCATTTGTTTTGTTTCTTAAATTCCACATATGAGTGAGATCATGTGGTATTTGTCTTTCTCTGATCAACTTATTTCACTTAGCATAATAATCTCTAGCTCCATCCATGTCATTGAAGATGGAGTGATTTCATTCTTTTTTTATACCTGAGTAATATTCCATGGATATTTGGGCTTCCATATCTTGGATATTGTAGATAATGCTGCTATAAACACCAGGATGCATTCGTTTATATGCATTTGAATTTGTGTTTTTGTATCCTGTGGGTAAATACTTAGAATTGTGATTGCTAGATCACCAGGGTAGTTTTATGTTTAACTTTTTGAGGAACCTCCGAACCGTTTTCCAGAGTAGCTGCAAATTTTTTGAATGGGACACAAAATTTTAACCAGTCATCTTGGTCAGGAAGATTTCAACTATTCTGACTACCCAAGTCAATTACGATCATATATATAAGACTTACGAGGGCTAGAATTAAATTCAGTTTCATTTTTGGCCAGTTTGACAAGATGATGTTCTTTGAATAAGGTTCTATTCTGTATATCTTCCTGAGTCAGTTTTGGTTATCCTATTTTCACTAGAATATTATCATTTAATTCAGTATTTTAAACATATGCTTAAAGATAGTATGAGCTGTTTTAAGTCATTTGGCTTTTTAAAATATAGGTTTATAGAGGAATAGTACAGTAAAATTCACACTTTTTAGGTAAATTGTTTGATAAGTTTAGAAAAACATAGTCATGTCATGTCATCCATATCTCAAGATATGGAATATTTTTTAATCACTCTTCCCTTCACTGGCAACTCCTGGCAACCGTTGATCTGATCTCTGTTTTTTTTTTTTTTTCCCCTGAACGTCACAGTGTCATTGCTTTTATCATTATGAGGTTCTTATTTTTGCTTTCCTTATTTTTTTCACTGTTGCTCTTCTAATTGCTTTGAAATAAAAACCTAATCCAAGATCAAAGTGCTGGGGAGTTAGTCTCTTCTGAGGCTTCTCACTTTGGGTTATGTCCCTGTCTTCTCCCTGTGTCTTCATACCATATTTGCTCTATGCCTGTCTGTATTCACATCACCTCTTCTTATAAGAACAACACTCAAATGAGATTAATTATGGTCAGACCCTCAACCACAGAGCTGGCTGAACAGGTTAGGTTCATCATTCAACAACTTCTTTATAACATGACTTTGCATTTTATAATATTGAAATGTGGTTTTACAATCATCTTCTGATTTGTTCTTTTCCCTAAAGAACTCATAGGTTTTATATCCCCTCAGTACTAAGATATTTGACAATACCCATTTTCATTTCTTGGAGAGTCATAGAATTCCTGTTACCCTATGTTCCTCACCATTTTGTGGGTTTGGCTTCAGGTGGAAGTTTGGACTACCTTAAGCTCACCTCCCTGATGAATTATTTTCACAATGTTTCCCTCATAGATGTTTTAGAATTTTATCATTATTCTTAAGGTTCAGAAGCGATCACATATCTCAATGTTCCATATGATTTGTGTTTTTTTTCCCATAAAATCAATTTTCAGGTTGAAGTCTTTATTTCAGGTATATTAGTATATCTTTGAATGCTTTTGTTTCATTTATGTGCTTCTCATCTCTAAGATTAACAGTTCTGTATGTTTGACATCATCTCTTTATGTTTTATTTTTCTTTCTCTAACCACACTACATTCTCATTTTCTACAAATTAATGTTCATTTCAAGCATGCATTATATGTGCTGGCTTGTTTTAAAAATAATTGATTTTACATATTGATGCTTTTAGTGCTGTTTTAATTTCTCTAAATATTTTGTCATTTCTTTCAATTGTTTTCCTGCTTTATGCTAGGAAACATTTTAATAATTATTTTTAACAATAATTAATAGATTATATCCACCTGCCTATAATGTATTTTCTGCTTTCTTTGTATTATTATTATTACTATTATTATAATTATTTTATCTAGTTCACTTTTGCAACTTTGTGCTTAGTACTTTGAATGGAAGTAGGTGAGATAACATAGCATGTGTGTATCTTGTATATTTCTTTGGGAAAGATACAGAGGAGAAATGGGCTAAGATTCAGGCGTTGCTTTTGGCATGTTATCTCAGACTACCTCCTCACCAAATATCCTTCCTCTGCAGTGAACACATCTCTGTTGTCTATATTGCCTTCTTTGAGGTGGGCAGGTCATTACAAGATTCGTTGTCTATATTTCCCCTCAAGTTTATGAGACTGGGAGACAGAAATAGTAGACGATGTGCTGGTACTCCATTCTCTCTTAGCCACTCACTCCCTGTTCTGGGGTGGAATTGTATCCCTGTAGAGACAATCTCTATTTCTCTCATCACCAATCCGCACTTATTAATCTAGGTCATTGTAAATTTGTGTTCTGAATTTGTAGGAGCTCCTTATTTACCTCCCTCATCAAGAACAGCATAGAAATAAATTGGCTTTCATATTCTCCCTCACATTGTTCCAAATTTCACTATATTGCACATATGTTCTATATATTTATGATATTATACCTACTATAATAATCTAGTAATTCCTTATGTTTCATAAAATATGGATTTTTATTCTCTTTCTTATTCTTTTGCTATTTTTGGATTTTTTCAGCTTTATTGAGTTATAATTGACAAAATTTTATAATATTTAAAGTGTATGTGATTTATGTATGCTTTGTGAAAAGAATCCCCCTCATCAATTAATTAACATATCCATCAACTCTTACAGTATTATAAGCTGTATTTCATAGTTTTTCAGAAACAGAGTAAGCAGCATTTAATTTTAATTAACACATGAATTGTAAATCTACCAATGACTTTCTGTTAAGAGCAATGAAAAAAATTTTTTCAGTGTATTTTCAGCTTCAGATGACTGGAGTGTCTCATGTTATTATCTCTTTCCTTTGTAGGCAGGAAATGGGTACACTTGAGAGAGAAAATCGAGTTCAAGATAAGAAAAGTAAGTCATTGTTTCATGATAATTTTCATACAAGGGAAGTTGTAAATTTAAACACCTAAATTAGTTCTGATACTATGTTACACAGGATTCAAGGAAACACTGCTTAGAATCCTTACAGTGATGTCTTAGTCCTCCTCCTCCTCCTCCTCCTCCTCCTTCTTCTTCTTCTTCTTCTTCTTCTTCTTCTTCTTCTTCTTCTTCTTCTTCTTCTTCTTCTTCTTTGTCTAACAAAACTGATCTTATGATATTTTTTGAAAATGATTTATTTATATGATTTATTTATCTATAATTTTTAAGTTGTAATCATGTTATATTTTACTTATCATTTTTCCTTAAATACATTATTGTCAAGTTGGTTTACATATAACACCCAGTACTCATCCCCACAAGTGCCCTCCTCTATGCCCATCACCCCCCTTCCCCTCTCTCCCACTTCCCCCAGGCTCAGTTTGTTCTCAGCATTCACGAGTCTCTCATGGTTTGCCTCCATCCCTCTCCCCAATTATTTTTCCTCTTCTTCTCCCACTTCGTCCTTTGTTAACTTTCTCCTAATCCACCTATATGTGCAAACATATGGTATCTATCTTTCTATGCCTGACTTATTTCGCTCAGCATAACACCCTTTAGTTCCATCCATGTTGTTACAAATGGCCAGATTTCATTCTTTCTCATTGCCATGTAATATTCCATTGTATAAATATACCACATCTTCTTGATCCATTCATCAGTTGATGGACACTTAGGTTCTTTCCAACTTTTGGCTATTGTTGAGAGTGCTGCTATGAACATGAGGGTACACGTGCCCCTATGCATTAACACTCCTGTATCCCTTGGGTAAATTCCTAGCAGTGCTACTGCTGGGTCATAGGGGAGTTCTATTGTTAATTTTTTGAGGAACATCCATACTGTTTTCCTCAGAGGGGCTGTACCAGTTTACATTCCCACCAGAAGTGTAGGATGGTACCTGTTTCTTCACATCCTTGCCAGCATCTAGAGTCTCCTGATTTGTTCATTTTAGCCACTCTGACCAGAGTGAGGTGGTATCTCAGTGTGGTTTTGATTTGTATTTCCCTGATGATGAGGGACACTGAGCATCATTTCATGTGTCTGTTATCATCTGGATGTCCTCTTTAGAAATGTGTCTGTTCATATCTTCTGCCCATTTCTTCACTGGATTATAGTTTTCGGGTGTGGAGTTTGATGAGTTCCTTATATATTTTGGATACTAGCCTTTTATCTGATATATCATTTGCAACTATCTTTTCCCATTCCGTTGGTTGCCTATTAGTTTTGTGGGTTCTTTTCTTTGCTGTGCAGAAGCTTTTCATCTTGATGAGGTCCCAGTAGTTCATTTTTGCTCTTGAGTCCCTTGCCTTTGAGGATGTGTCAAGTAAGGAATGGCTGCGGTTGAAGTCAAGGAGTTTTTATCCTGCTTTCTCTTCTAGGGTTTTGATAGTTTTCTGTCTCATGTTCAGGTCCTTTATCCATTTTGAGTTTATTTTTTGTGTATGGTGTGAGAAAAATGATCCAGTTTCATTCTTCTGCATGTTGCTGTCCAGTTCTCCCACCACCATCTCTTAAAAAGGTTCACTGTTTTCCATTGGATGCTCTTCCCCGCTTTTTCAGAGTAGTTGGACATACATTTGTGGGTCCAAAGTTCTTTATTCTATTCCTTTGGTCTATGCGTCTGTTTTTGTGCCAATACCATACTGTCTTGATGATTACAGCTTTGTAGTAGAGATTAAAGTCTAGGATGGCAATGCCTCCCATTTTGGTTTTCTTCTTCAATATGACTTTGGCTATTTGGGGTCTTTTGTGGTTCCATGCAAATCTTAGGATTGTTTGTTCTAGTTTTGAGAAGAATGCTGGTGTAATTTAGAATGGGATTGCATTGAATGTGTAGATTGCTTTAGGTAGTAATGACATTTTAACTATTTTCTTTCAATCCATGAGCATGGAATATTTTTGCATTTCTTTGTGTCTTCTTCAATTTCCTTCATAAGTTTTCTATAGTTTTCATCATACAGCTCTCCTATATATTTGGTTAGATTCATTCCTAGGTATTTTATGTTTTTTGGTGCAATTGTGAATGGGATCAGTTTCTTGATTTCTCTTTCTGTTGCTTCATTGTTGGTGTATAAAAATGCCATCGATTTCTGTATGTTGATTTTGTATCCAGCTACATTACTGAATTCACAGGTCAGTTCTAGTAGGCTTCTGGTGGAGTCTGTCGGGTTTTCGATGTAGAGTATCATGTTGTCTGAGAAAAGTGACAGTTTGACTTCTTCTTTACCAATTCTGATACTTTTATTTCCTTTTGTTGTCTGATTGCTGATGCTAGGACTTCCAGCAGTATGTTAAACAACAGTGGTGAGAGTGGACATCCTTGACGTGTTCCTGATCTCAGGGGGAAAGCTCTCAGTTTTTCCCCATTGAGGCTGATGTTAGCTGAGGGCTTCTCATTGATGGCTTTTATGATGTTTAGGTAAGTTCCTTCTATCCCGACTTTCTTGAGGGTCTTTACTAAGAAGGGATGCAGTATCTTGTTGAATGCTATTTCTGCATCTATCGACAGGATCATATGGTTTTTATCTTTTCTTTTGTTAATGTGATGTATCACATTGATTGGTTGAATATTGAACCAGCCCTGTAACGTAGGAATGAATCCCATTTGATCTTGGTGAATAATTCTTTTTATGTGCTGTTGAATTTGATTTGCAAGTATCTTGTTGAGGATTTTTGAATCCGTATTCATCAAGGATATTGACCTATAGTTCTCTTTTTTTTTGCTGGGTCTCTGTTTGGCTTGGGAATCAAAGTGATGCTGGCTTCATAAAATAAGTCCAGAAGCTTTCCTTCGATTTCTATTTTTTTGGAATAGCTTGAGAAGAGTGGGTATTAATTCAGTGTTCAATATCTGGTAGAATTTTCCAGGGAAGCCATCTGGTCCAGGGCTCTTATTCGTTGGAGATTTTTGATAACTGATTCAATTTCTTCACTATATAAGGGTCTGTTCAGATTTTCTAGCTCTTCCCGTGTGAATTTTAGTGTTTAGGAATTTGTCCAGTTCTTCTAAGTTGTCTAGTTTGTTGGCATACAATGTTTCATTGTATTCCCTGATAATTGCTTGTATTTCTGAGGGGTTGGTTGAAATGAGTCCATTTTCATTCATGATTTTGTCTATTTGAGTGTTCTCTCTTTTCATTATGAGAAGCCTGGCTAGGGGTTTGTCAATTTTGTCTATTTTTTCAAAAACCAACTTTTGATTTCGTTGATCTGTTCAACTGTTTTTTTGGTTTCTATGTTGTTTATTTCTGCCCTGATTTGTATTATTTCTCTTCTCCTACTGAGTTTGGGTGCTCCTGTTGCTCTCCCTCTAGTTCCTTTAGGTGCACTGCTAGATTTTGTACGTGAACTATTTCTAGTTTTTTGAAATAGGCCTGGAGTGCAATGTACTTTCCTCTTAGGACTGCCTTTGCTGCATCCCATAGAATTTGGATTGTTTTATTCTCATTTTCATCGGTTTCCATATATTTTTTAATTTCTTCTCTAATTGTCTGATTGGCCCATTCATTCTTTAGTATGGCCTTCTCTTACCTACATGTTTTTGGAGGTTTTCCAGGCTTCTTCCTGTGTGATTTCAAGTTTCATAGCATTGTGATCTGAAAGTGTGGATGGTATGATCTCAATTCTTTTATTTTTATTGAGGGCTACTTTATGTCCCAGTATGTGATCTATCTTGGACAATGTGCCATGTGCACTTGAGAAGGAAGTAAATTCCATGGCCTTGGGGTGTAGAGTTCTAAACATATCTGTAAAATCCATCTGGTCCAATGTGTCATATAAGTCCATTGTTTCTTTTTTTTTTTTTTTTTCCCTAATGTACTAATTTTATTTTATTTATTTATTTTTTTTTACAAATAGCTTATTGTCAAATTAGTTTCTACATAACACTCAGTGCTCATCCCCAAAGTGCCCTCCTTCATGCCCATCCCCCCCTCCCCCCCACATCCATCAGTCCTCAGTTTTTGTCAGCATTCAAGAGTCTCTCATGGTTTGCCTCTCTCCCTTTCCCCCACCATTTCCGCCCTTCTTCTCCCCCTTGGTCCTCCGTCAAGTTCCTCCTAATCCTCCTATACGTGCAAACATATGGTATTTGTCCTTCTCTGCCTGACTTATTTCGCTCAGCATAACACCCTCAAGGTCCATCCATGTTGCTACACATGGCCAGATTTCATTGTTTCTCATTGCCATGTAGTATTCCATGGTATAGATAAACCACATCTTCTTGATCCATTCATCTGTTGATGGACACTTAGGCTCTTTCCATGTTTTAGCTATTGTGGAGAGTGCTGCTATGAACATTGGGGTACATGTGCTCCTATGCCTCAGCATTTCTGTATCCCTTGGGTAAATTCCTAGCAGTGCTATTGCTGGGTCATAAGGGAGTTCTATTGTTAGTTTCCTGAGGAACCTCCACACTGTTTTCCAGAGGGGCTGTACCAGTTTACATTCCCACCAACAGTGCAGGAGGGTGCCCGTTTCTCCACATCCTCGCCAGCATCTAGAGTTCTCTGATTTGCTCATTTTAGCCACTCTGACTGGCGTGAGGTGGTATCTCAGTGTGGTTTTGATTTGTATTTCCCTGATGAGGAGGGATGCTGAGCATCGTTTCATGTGTCTGTTGGCCATCTGGATGTCCTCTTTGGAGAAGTGTCTGTTCATGTCTTCTGCCCATTTCTTCACTGGGTTGTTTGTTTTTCGGGCGTGGAGTTTGGTGAGTTCCTTATAGATTCTGGATATTAACCCTTTATCTGATATGTCATTTGCAACTATCTTTTCCCATTCCGTTGGTTGCCTATTAATTTTCTGGGTTGTTTCCTTGGCTGTGCAGAAGCTTTTAATCTTGATGAGGTCCCAACAGTTTATTTTTGCTCTCGATTCCCTTGCTTTTGGGGATGTGTCAAGTAAGAAGTTGCTGCGGTGGAGGTCAAGGAGGT